ACATGCGGAAATATTTTTGACAGAAGCAATTATATTAGCAAGTTTTGATATGGCCATTACAACTTTTATAAAGTGATTGTAAAATTGCTATGAAGAAAATATTTTTTTTTTAAGTTATCATAGAAAGCAAATTTCTAACATATAATTTTCTAGAATTCAATGAAAAAATAACGGACAAATATAAACTGTGATTACCGTTTGAAAAACAAAATAATAAAAAAATTATCTCAAACAAAACCTTAGCCATAAAATCCTGCCGTTGGGGTCACCGAAATTGCAATGGTTGCAAAATAGAACATATACAACTCCCGCAATTGCTCCAAGATCTCTGCACCGGTATAACAAATGAATGGATTATAGTCCCAGAAATATATAGTAAATCAGACCAGCAAGGGTGTAATTTCAGAAAATCAGGAGCAGCTCACAGGCAGTTCATTTACGTTTAATAGATCACAAATAACAAACCTCAACGATTCAATTAAAAACAATACTAAAAAGGCATTGAACTATTTATAACATAAAACATATCCAAATAAAACACAGATGTTTTAACTATCATATAAAAACTTAAACTTGAAATAACTTGCAAGTAACCCAAATGCTTGATATGTCATAGACATGTAAATGTTGATCATTCGCATGAATGTTCTTGGATGAGTTACTTGTAAACCCACTCGTATTCTATTGTGAAACAAGGGGGTGATTGAGGGAGACCTTCGGCTCACTTAAATTTTCGATAAGCCTTTTAGTAACTACATGAAATAAACAAGCTTACCCTATAATAGGGTCTAACAACAACAACAAGCCTCTATCCCACTACGTTGGGTCTCCATTGTGTTCTGTTACAAGTCAAATTCTCTTTTAGTCTTTTACTAATAAAGAATAGTCATTTCTAATATTCTTTAACCAAATCTTTTTAAGTCTACCTCTATCTTCCAATCCTTGTCACTAATTCATCTTTATGGCTGCAACAATTCTAACCGGAAATCCTACAATCATTGTTTAAAACTGCACGATATGATGCTCGCCTTGAGGCCCGCCTTAGCACAATTTTAGTGAAAAACGCCTTAAGCACACGCCTCTAGTTTTTTTATGAGGCTTGAGCCTCAAGCTTGGCTAAGGCCCGCCTCACGTCGCTAGTGTGAAGCTTATACCTCACCCTATTTGTATATTTTTTTATCAAAACTAACATAAATCATGTAATTTATTATGCAACAACTCAGATAAAGACCACCTCAATGATGACAATGCAGATAATTCAAATAGTTGCCAACTATTTCAATTTTCATTACAAATTAAATGTAAATGAGTAGATAGCTAAGAAAAAAATTTGGAGTTGAACTTAATGTTATATGATACTTTCTATGCAATTTTTATATTTAATATTATTTTGCTTTTATAATATTTGAATTTTAATTCTATTTCACGCAAATTATTACTTGCCACTTTAGATCTTATGCAATTTTTTGTTCCATATGTATGTCAATTTATTAATTCATAATTCAATAGGGAGTTAATATATCATCATTTAACATAATATTTAGATATTATATAAAAAATCACTTTTGATATTTATTATCAATTTATGCAATTTTTTGATTTTGATGCTTATGGCTCAAAATATCTTGAGGCTTACATCTCGCCTCATGAACAAAAAACGCCTAAATATTCAATTGTGCAATTTTAAACATCGCCAACAATCATATATATTCCTTTAAAAATTCAAAACATATGATTAAAAATATAAATCACCCAGCTGGCTCAGTTAACACCTTATGCACTTCACATCATGCTACTGCCAACCAGAACGAAGCTCTGGGGAAGCTGTAAGACCGGCCTTTTCATCGTCATTGCCAGCAAAAACAAGCATAAAAGCCAAATAAAAAAAGAGACTGATAAAGGCTGACATTGATCATAAGAGAGAAGAATGAATATAGTTTTAGGAGATGGTCAATTTACCATTTTCCTTTGTGAGCACAATTTCTAGTTTGCTCTTAAATTTACACAAAAAAAAAAACCTGTAGGAAATTTCATGCATTGAAAATTCCTCATTTCATCTCTCATATAAATTTCATAATACTATTATATAAGCTCGTAATATTGTAAATTTGGGTGAAGTCAAATTTCGGCCAATTAGCTCTAGGAATAAAGATGAGAAGCGACAAAATCAATAAATAGTTTCAATATTTGAAGTAGACATGAGAAAGTACCAGTTCTTGACTTGAATGAATTAGTTGAAGTAATGCCAATCTTATATCAATATTTTTAATTCGCAACTTAAGATTCAAAAGTCATCTTTTATTGAAACAAGATTTCAATTTTAAGAACAAATAGCAAACAAAATTCAAATGGTAAATCATGAATAGAGTTTAAAGGGGAAATGCGAATACATGGATAAATATCAAACACATTAGATGATTATATGTGCACTTCAAAGGTGTTTCTTTCAGTACTATACCTACAAGATAGAGAGGAAAACATGACCAAGTAAGAAGAGAGATGTTCCTTTAGTCAAAGGAAAATTTTGGAAGATTAATGAATGTTTACACGACTAAATAAATAAATAAATAAATAAGACATAGGGAGGATTACTTGTTAATATGAAAAATATTATATGAAAAAAGGTCATTTACCCAATTCTTGATATTTTTATAAAAAGGAACATACAAATAAGTTTAACTCTAGGGAAGAGACATCTCTAATTAGTGCATCAACAAGATATTTCTTTGTTCTCCATCTAAAAATAACAAAAGATAGTTATGCAGCCATTTTGCATGCTCCGTCTTACAAATTATCATACAACACTTAAACATCGCTAGCTAAACCTACACGCAAAGGAAGATAAAAAATTTACTTCCTTCCTATAAGGCTTTCATGCTGTTTCAATTAGATAGTAACAAATACACTTACATGAGTGTTGAATTTAAGAATGAAAAATACTTTATTATATATTTCTATTATGTCTAAACGCCAACAAACTACTTTTATTTATACAATTAATTTATTTTAAAAGCATTAAATCTCTATATTGAATGCTAAAACATAAACAAAAATGTATGAATTGTTAGTTGTGCCTAAGATTTGTTTAAAAAATAGATGAAAGACATATTTTTTAGTGTCTTAAACCTATTTGCTAAAGCGGATTGGGTGAATTTTTTTAGTTTGATCTTAAACCAAAACAAAACTAAATATAATCGATTTGAAAAAATCTCAATCCTAAAGCAAACTAAAGCAAACCAAACTGAATCAATCGATTTTTTCGATATGGTTTGATTTTTAGATTTGACTTTTTTTCGATATGGTTTGATTTTTAGATTTTTTCGATACCGTTTTGTTCGGTGCATTCTGAATGCGCCGTTTTATTCGGCTCATTCTGAATGCGCCATTCCATTACGCCATCTTCTCTTGTATCTAAATTTTCTCGGAAACATACTCCTATTGCTAATACTCCGATCCTACCTGCTTCTTCTAAAAATTTGGCCAATTGAGAATGAGGATACATGAAGCTGAACTCAAATATTTTGGATAAGATTGTGATTGCTTCTTCAGCTGCTGATTAGACAGGCTCATGTTGGATGTGAAGCAACTAAATTAGATGTTTATATATTAGTTGAGTCTCCAGCCAGTTGACCTAAGCTTTTGAGATGAAATGGTTTCATCCGTCACTATATTAGTCTATCTTGCGCACCTGGCATTCCACTACCCATGAAGGATATATATATAACATTCAGCTTTTTTATGACCCAAAGTTTTGCAATGAAAACAAAAGTTCGGAAAATCTTCAAAAACCACCTTTTGAATATACATTTACTTCTCCGGACTAAGCCAAACAAATTTAGGATATTTCTTGATAACGTCCAGTTCAACAAGAATGCAACTAACCGACAGTCTAGACCCACCTTTTGAATATACAACCAAACAAAGAATCGAGACCATGAAAATGTGAGGGGAAAAGAAATGCCGGGAATGAAATCCAAACAAAACGATCAGAGATTTCTCCGAAATATAGATCAATTGATTAACTTCATAAAACAATTGCTAACATAAAATGATCAATGCACAAAAACATTACCATAGTCAAGATCATTCGATAGCTTAATCAGCACATAACGGTGATCCAACAAGGTAATCGAAAATGCACCAGTAAGCTTCAAGTTGAAAAAAAAAAAATGGAAATGAAATCAATCACGGCTCTGCGTAAAGGAGACTTATCAACCAATGCTAAATCAAAGTGTTTGCAAGATGCAACACTTCTTCCTCCGAGATCCACAAAACTGTCAAATCCCAAAGAGTAGTTTCTTTGAGATCCGGAAAAGTATTAGGGAATCAGAATCAGAAACAACATCCTTGAACGATTTAGAAGGATTCTTACCATCAATAAAATCAGGCGACATTTAAAGGCTTCCGTCATTGCACAAATCAGAAGAAAAGAAATCCAAAAACAGTAGGAATGAAACAAGAAAGGTTAAGAAAACTCCCCTCGGAACCAGGCAAGGAAGCTAAGCATACACACGATCGACGGCTAGAGCCTCGCCCAAGCAGACGAGCCAGATCCCGGACCGCTGGAGCCCGAGCAGATGGGGAGGCTGCTAGGGCATCGCCACACTAGAGCGAAACGCGAAGGCTGAGGAGAATACACGACCGAAGGCAAGGAGCAGGAGCGCCGAGCAGATGTAGAGGCGGCTAGGGCGGCTTGGGCGGAGCGAGCCAAACGGGAGAAAAAAATGTTGCTATATGAACGGCCCAAATATATAATTGTAATTGTTTTTTTTTTCTAATTTATTTTAGTGTTTAGATTTTAGTGTTTATAAGGTTCAAGACTATTATTATAAGTTCGTATATTATTTATTTTTTAAACTTAGGGGTTTCCTTTAATCTCCTTCATACTGTATAGCCCATAACTACTTACAACGATTACATTTAAACCTAAAAAAATAAAAAATATAAAATCGACAATTACTATTTTTAAAGTTGAATTCAATGTGTTGAATGCTTATTATAATTGTTCTCTCTTTCTAGTTAAATATATGATGCTTGCATATGAGAAACTAGCAAGTGATACATATCAAACGAAGAAAATAATGAAGATGCTTGGTCAAAAGGTTGAGAAAATTGATGTTTGTGAGTAAGTATATGTTATTTGTATGAGAATTGTAACTTATATGAGTGTAGCGAGTGTGGCCAGTCTCATTGCAAGATGAAAAAGATTTGGCTAGTCGTTGTAAAGCTGTCCCATACAAAGTACTCTATTAATTTTTGTTGACTACATGGTTGCCAAAGTTATTTATGTTTGATAAGATTATTGAACACATGATTTGGTATGCTACGAAGAAAACTCTTAAAGCAAGTACACCAAGAATGTTAAGCATCTTTGATGGAATATTATGCCAGAATTATGTTACATTCCATTGAAAAATTAATTTTTGATAAAAATAGATTTGTTGTTAAAAGATGTGTAGGAAAGAGTTTATGATGTTTTTTTTTTTATTTTCGTTGAAATTTTTTTCAAATGATTACTATTAGAAAAACTAAGGGAAAAACCTATATAAATTAAAATGCTGGAAAAAATACTATTTATAGAATTACCTGCAGTTATCATTGCTAGTATTTCTATATGTTCACTAGCAAATTTATCTATCGGGGTTCTGGCGGTATGATTCATCGGTAATACCAACTAATAATTCAAGGGATATATTTTATTGATACAAGTTATGAAAATATTTTGAAGTTTTTTTTTTTCACTAGCTTGCAAAAAAATAATAAATTATTATTATTGATCATTTTTTCTATTGAAAATCAATCATAAACGTATAAGAAATTGAAAAAAGTAATCATGTCAACACTATTTCTCATCCAAACCAATATAACAAAATATATTTCATATATTCACATAAATAGCACATTTAAATAATATTCCTATATATTTGTGATGATAGCATAAAAAAATATATGTAAAAGATGCAATCTAAAATACAATTACTTTATGAAAAATATTACAACATTAAATGTTTTGTTGTTCTTCATAAATAGAACATTCATACACAAAACATGAATACATAAAACTAATCCTCGTATGTCTACTCTCTCTCCTTAGTTATTCAGACATATTGCTAACTCCAATGCTCCATAAAACCCCTCAACTTAGCTTTGCATATAAGCATGTTGTGATTGCATCTCATCTTATATTTGTTGTATCCATATTCCTTTCGCTATTAGAGAAGCCACCTTTCTACTCAGTTATTTCTCAATACTATTGTCCCTGAAGCCTAATGAGGTGGAGGATTGTATTTCATATGCACAAATTTATGAACGAAAGCCATAAACCCTCCCTTTCTACATTCCTCTTACTGCTTAAGACTATACAATATAATTTGAGATTGTTGCATTAATCAATCAAAAAATCCCTCACCTGCAAAAGGCTGACTTCACAACTCTATAAGCCCTATGTATTAATCCTCCTGAAACATATCAAATGTATATATTTAACGAGCATTTACATTGTAGTTATTAAATTTTTAATAATCACATATGCTTTATGTGATTTTAGTACTATTAGTCCTCCTAACGTTGATATGTTCACGTATCTAACTCCAAACCAGTAGGTTGACTTTATAGTACTTGCTTCTGCAAAAGTTATTACAAAATTCAATGCTTGAAATTTGAAACATCTGAAAAATATTTTACCAAATGACTGTTATGTTCAAGTGAAGAGATGAGTCGCTTACATGGAGAGAGTTGCCCATGCCTTCACAGTCAAAAGCCTAATTCCATTTACTCTACTCCCTCTTCCAAACATAATCAAGGCTGTCGCCACCTTTGTACAATTCAGTCAAAACACTCTCACTTATTCATAGAGGTCTCTGACCTGACTTATGAATGACACAAACATGTGTGGTAAGCTAGTTAACACCCATTTATAAAAGGTTTTCTTAATTTTATTATTATGTTGAGGGAACCATCTAAAGTTTTTTTTTTTTTGTAAAATAAAAATTAAGTCATGATAATAATAGAAGTTAAATTAATTAAATCATAATTATATAATGACACCTCATTATCTCATATATATTTGCAAAGCTACTAGTATTTTTCCATGATATATAAGGAGTATTAAATTTGCTCTTTATGATGTCTTTGATCTTATGATCGAGTGGGTTGTCTAGATGTGTACAACCTGTAGAAATAAAAATCTTTTCATACTAGCAAATTTCAAATGTTAAGGCAATGAAAATCATATGTACATAACATCATCATGGTCAATATAAATATAGTAGTTAGAACCCTTTAAACCATCCTCACATCCCTGTTGTGCACTTATAGAAGGCCCGGGTATAATGAGGTTGTGGTCGAGATGGATAATGGGTAGGCATCTATTCATATACTTTGTTTTAATATTGAGCATCCTAACTATGATAAATAATCCAGAATGAGTAGTGCAACCATTCAAAAGTGATTGTTGAGCTTTAGATAATAAATCCTTAAAGTTTTACACTTCAATGTTAGGTGGCTCTTCTATATGTTCTCTAAATTATGGGCTAGCTGCATTAAGGACCATCTATTTGTATCTCTTAGTAATTTTCTCATATATTGATATGCAGCTTATCGAAGGACCACATTGAAAGTCGAGATGTGGGCCATACTTTTAATGTGAAGACTAGATCCAAGAATTTTGAATGAATCTGGCCTCAATGATATACACAAAGTGTAATCTCATTATGTATAAGGTACACTAAAAAAAAATTATGTATAAGGTACACTTAATTTTTATGCTTTGAACATCGAGACCTAAACTTTTTATCCAAAAAAAGAGGATTGTTGACAGGCCAAATAGGTAAAATATTCGACTCTCTTGCTGAATTTTTATGTTATTCTTTTTGTCCAAGTAATAACCTATTATACATTCACACTCTTTTGTTTCAAATTTTCATGTATACGTTATATTTAAAGAAAGTAATAATTTATAACATCAAATTTTATCTGACTAGAGATAGTCTAAATTATTAATTTGATATATTATTTCACCAAAACTAATGTAATAGTAATGTAATCTTTTCCATCTCTAATGCAATATAAGAAAAAAAATTTCAATATCTATCCTGAAAATTACCTTAAATCCTAAATATAAAATTATTACTAACACAATAATAAAGTGAAATTTTCTTCTAGTAATACAATACAAGACAAAAATTTCTAAATCTAACCTAAAAAAATCCTAAATTGTAAATATAAAATTTTCCAAGTGCAAAATTATGTAAATCTAATCTTAAATATTATTATCTTTTTTAAATATCTTACTTATGTGAAAGAAAAACTCAAATTTAAATAAAATTTTAAGAAAAAATAAAAAAATCTAAAATTTTCAAAATCTATTTTGCCAAAATGTAATTGATAAAATCTCAAAAGGATTGAGATTAATATTGATAGAGAGGAATATATACCTTCAAATCCTTGAAGAAATATATAAATTTGATGAAAATAGCTAAAAATATAAGGAGATAAAGATGCATGAACAAATCCACAGGAAATTCAACCAATAAAGATCTTTCTAAAATATTTGTAACTCTACCAAAACTTCCATCGGAGTTATCCATAGATTTAATTCAGCTAGAAATTGCACCAAAAATAGGTAACGTACAAAACCTCTCAATGGAGAAGTTTGGAAATACTTCAATCTTTCCAATAAAAAAAAAAAAAATCAACCGGAGTTATCTAACATTTGCTTTAGAGCTAAAAAATATATGAATTTATATTTATGAAAATATATTTAATTCCTTTGGGTAGTCTAATATATAAAACATACCGGGGTAGTGCATGAAAAACTCAATCATCTTTTTAACATTAATCAAGCCAGTTTCTAAGTCCAACAATAAATTTAGCTGTCTTTCTATGGTTGCTTGTTGTTGAACTTAAAATACGATTTAATGAAGGAGTAATTTTCAAATGTGGTTTGCTATTATATGAATGAATAGTGATTTTCATGCATAAGCAATGTTATTTAGATGGAGCAACCATGGTTGATTCGCATTTTCTTTATTTTATAGAGAGTAGCAAAACATTCTACTTAGCAATTATCATGATAAAATGATAAGAATGATAAATCCTATATTCCGATCATTTGAGATTGATGCTCATAGAGTTCTTGTATAAGAGGGAGTACATGGGAGGTAACAATATTTGGTAATTTGATTCCTAAGAGAAAGCAAAGTTAGGGAAGAATTACATTTGCACAATTAGAAAGTGAAGAGATTGAACCAATAGTCTCTGTAGGAAGTATAAACTCTACTATGTAGATGATCGTGTTGTATGCTGCTAAAAATCACTCATTATATGTTTAATCTTACACTTTATCATTTATTTAATCATTATTGTAATTGTTATAATTATTTTCTTTTCTTCTTAAGCAAGTTTGAATAAATAATAGTTCAAGGTCAAGACAGCAAATGGGGATCCTCAAATTAGGGGGATAAGATTGAGTAAACCTTCATCTAGCCAAGGGGATGACAGATCTTCAGATAGAGCAAGCATGATCAATTCCTAATTCCATCCACATTTTGATGAGAATGTGCATAAAATGTCTGTCTTTCTTTTCAAATTATAAGTTTAACAAACCTATTTAAGGCTATAATTGCAAAGTTTTAAAATGTGTAATATTTATTACAAAAAGAAGAGGGGGTAATTTTCTCATTTAATAACTACTTTAATTAAAATAAAATTATACTCCGATCCAATGCTCT